TTCTTTAAGAAAAACACATCATCCCTGCAGAGCTCACCCCACTTCTCCATATTAGACAGGGGTGGGAGCGGGGACGGGGGTGGGGGCTCTGCTATCCTGCACGATTATAGAGCCCTCTGGAAAAGAAGGATGTAACCACTGCATGATTTTTTTGCGCTTGCCATAGGTAATACATATGTTGTTGCTTTTTTGTTTCGGGAGATGATAATGAATTAAATATTAACACCATGAATATAATTAATAGCATGTAATTTTTTTTCTTTTGCTGTTTTTTCCCTTGCTCTTCTCTCCTCCCATTTTTGTGCTTTTCCTGCTTTTTCTCTGTCCCCTCATGTCCCTTACGTTTTCTTTCCCTCTGCCGGCTCTTCTTTGATTTACCCACAATCCTAACTTTGCATTTTCAAAGGGGGAGATCTTGGTAAGTACCCACTTAGTGTGGTAGCAAACATTAGAGAACCTAAGAGTGGTGGAGACCCCGCCGCCCCGTAAATGTCCCTTTCCCCCCAAATAACAGAACAACTAAAAATCGAGCTAACCTAAAAACCCCCTGCCGTGGCCAACACCCGCTGGACTCCGTGTTGCCCTGGGCATAAGCTGACTCACACGGACACTAACCTGACCACCACCCTTGTGGGAGGCCCAGCCCGCCCGCCAGCCCATTTCTGACACATGTAGCTAGTTTCCTATAGGTCAGGGATGGCAAATACTCAGCTAACACCCCATGCTTCCCTCCCCTCACATCCCTGGCCAGGGGAGATTTTGCTTAAGCCCTGCTGGAACTGGTTCTTGCCCCTGCCGCCACTGGCCTCACCATGCCGAAATGTTCTCTTCCTGCACTCCGGGCAGACATTACTAATCGATCCGGCGCGCTTTCCTTTGTGCCCCTCCCTGGCCGTGTGCAGGCATGGCTAATCGATCCTGGCGTACTCTCCTGAGCAGGCCACCACTCCCCTTCCTGTGGCAGATGTGATTTGACTGGTCAAAGAATTTTTTTCCCCCATGTGATAGCTTTGCACGTGACACCCCTCGACACCCACGAGAGGCGTGACTGGCTGATCAGGGAACTCTCTCCTGGATGCTGCCACTATTGTTCCCTGCCCGTGGCAGATATGATGATTGGTTAGACTGTTCCATGCCACTTGCTCCCTTCCCTTAGCGTTTGCCTGCGGCAGGCATCACTCCTTTCCCGCCGCGCCCAGGATTCTCACTTTGAATACTCACCATCTCCCCCTCCAAACAGTCCAGGGGCCCGCTTCTCCTCACACCCCAAGAGGTTTAGTTGTTCTCTTCCTGCCAGATTCCACATCCCCAGCACCAAAGGCCAGCCGCGCCCCGGCTGCAGGCCCCTGGGTCTCCCGGCCACGGTTCCCATTCCTGCCCCAGGTGACTCAGGCCGGGAACCCTGACCCAGGAGGAGGCTGACCCACCCTGCCGGCGGGCCCCAGCTTGCTGCTTCCTGCTGCTGCCCGTGCTGCCCCCGGCGGCCCTTCCTCCCACCCCTGGCGTGTGTGCGTGCCTGTCCCTGTGCACCCCGGAGCGTGGGAGCCTGCCTGCCTCTTCTGTCCCTCCACCCCCCTCCTTCTAAGCCAGGCCCCTGGGGCACAAATTTGGCTTCTGGATGAGGAAGGCCAGCCACTCCTTCTCCTGTAGACTCAGCACATGTGTCTGCCGCGCACAGCTTGTGCCTCCCCAGGGTGGGATTTCATCTCTGACCCTACATGGCTCCCTCGCGGACAGCTCTCTGGGCAGCTCGAGGGGAAGGGGACCTTGGAGGCTTCTCCAGGCCTACTCAGATGGGCCATTCCCGGCACGGCATCTGCCCCGTGGCCACATGCCCCACAGCATGGCCAGGGCCCCGTTTGCCAGCTCTGACTGCTACTAACTGAGGTGCAGTCAGGTGAGCCAGGCCAAGGAGGGGGTAGGTGGGGGGCATACCTGCCCCCTTGGGAACTGGGCTGGGCCCCGGGGTGGAGAGGCCTCACCACATGAAGACTTGTCTTCCGGGGAGCACTGACCGCCTACGTTCTCCACCTCCTTCCTGCTTCTCTTCCCCTGGTTGTCGGTGACTGAAGTGTAGAAATGCCTACTCTGCCTGGCCTGGGCTAGGACGAGGCAGGCTCTACCCTGGCCCCTGGGCTGGGGAAGGAAGGAGCGGGTATGAACACAGAGACCCACACAGCTCTGGGACAGGGGGTGTGGTTGCTGGAGCCAGGGACTCCTTCCTGGGCCATCTGCAGGATGGCCTTGAGCCGGAGTCTAAAGACCAGCCTTGCCCCAGCGTGACCAGACCTCCCACTTTGCCTGGGACTGGGGGCATTCCCAGGACTCCAGGTTTTCAGTGCCAAACCAGGGCACCCTGGGAGGATACCATGACCTTACTGGGGCCAGCGGTCTCTGCCCCCTTGCCCACCAGGCAGCCATGGTTGGGCGGGTGCCAGCAGTCTCTGCTCACTCCCTGGTGGCCACAGGTCTCCAGGTGCTGTCTCGTCATCACCAGGAAGCCCTAACAAGGGCCACCAGGTGGCATCCCATGCTGTCTCCAGCCTGGGCAAGGGCTTCTGTGTAGTGCAGAGGTCCCTGGGTGTGCTCTGGCCGCCTCCACCTTCATGGCCCATGAGGCTCAGAGCCTAATTCCAGCCATAGGAAGCAGGTGGCCCTGTTAAGATTTGACAGGCCTGGGGGCAGGTCAGAGTGGGAGGAGAAAGCCCCTCCTGAGACCTACCCCTTAGGAAGACACGGGAGCCCCAGAGTCATCCCTCAATCCCCATCCTGCCCCCCGACCCCCCCACCCGCCCTGCCCCGAGGCGGGTAGGGAGGTGGGGACTCAACACCAGCCCATCCCAGCTGTCCTTGGCCGCATCGCCGCATAGCTTGGCCCAGTCTGTTGCTGCCTGGGCCCCAGGCAGCCCTGCCTGTGCCTCCATGTGCTTCCCGCTGCCCCGGGGGTCCCCGGACCAGAGTGATGGGTAGCTCTGGCCCACACATGCCTCCATGACCCAGGGAACACAGGACCATGGCCCCTCAGACTGCCTACATGTAGCTGTCAGATGAGTCCTCTGTGTAGACCTGGCCGGATTCTGCCTCCTACTTAGATGACAGCTGCAGGCAGACGAGCCCCGGCCAGGGGATCTTCCAGGCCAGAGCCTCAGCGCGTCAGAGAAGAGTAGGACTTCCGGGTTTGAGGCCAGCGAGGGGCATGATCCCCGGCGGGTGCCCCAAGCTCAAACCTTTGGCCCCAGCCCTCTGGGCGGAAGCATCCCTTCTTCCTGTACTCTGGAAAGAGCCTGTGGGGAACGGAGCCCCAGGACAGAGGCTGGCCGCAGTCCCCGTCCAGAGCAGGACACCAAGTGTCCACCATAGTAAGCTGGGCAGGTGACCAACGGCGCGGGCAGCAGAGTCAACACTGTGGGTTAAGCTTCTGCCGGTCAGCCGCAAAAGGAGAGAGAGAAAGAACCACTCCCATTTCGTGGCAATTCCCCCAGCGTTCTGCCAACAGCCATCTTCCAGAGGGTGTGAGGGCGTCCCTGGCACTTGGTCCCGCAAGTGTGATTCCTCCGATGTCACGTCCCATGTGATACACTCCCATACAAGCCCGGGAACTGTCCCGGGCCCCTTGTAGCCGGGCACACCTTTTCTTGGCTGTGCTGACTCGACCCCGCGTGCAGGGGGTCTCCCGGGGGGCCCGGTTCCCTGCCCCCCTCCACCCCCACCCCCGAGCCTTGTGAGTGAGTGTGCGTGCCCTGTGTCTGTCTGCCTGGGCATCCCGTGTTGGTTTGCGGTGGGAAATGCTTGGGGGCAAGGTGGAGTTGGGTTGCCTGGCCTAGGGCTGGAGGCATCTCTGCCGTGTGGTCCGTCTTCCTTACTGGGGACGAGGGCCCCGGGCCCTGCACGGGGGTGGGCTGGGCCGGGCGGCAGGCATTGTCCCCCTCTGAGCAGCACCCTCCCCCCCCAGGTGATCCGCAGGGGCTGGTTGACCATCAACAACATCAGTCTGATGAAGGGCGGCTCCAAGGAGTACTGGTTTGTGCTGACTGCCGAGTCTCTGTCCTGGTACAAGGATGAGGAGGTGAGTGGCGGGGGGCGGGACTAGAGTGGGCGGATGCTTGCTCCTTCATTCCAGGAAGGCTCCCCAAGCTCCTCCCTGAGGATGGTAATGGCCAGGACTGGGGCGGGGCTGGGGGGGGGTGCATACTAGGCAACAGGTTGCATATCCCAGCCCCACGTGACCCTCTAGGGGTCCAGCCTGATAGCCGCTCCACTTCAGGAGGAAAGGGAGATGGAGAGGGGAGCCCTTGGCAGGCTAGAAACCGACCCCAGCTTCCAGAGTCACAGGGAGGCATCCCTGGCTCTCAGAGGGGGCACGGTCTGAGGTCAGGGACTCAGGCTCCTGGCCAGGTTGCTGAGGTGCTGGGGGTCCAACGTCTACAAGGGGCTCAGCCAGGCGCCTCGTTTCCCTGTCTATGAAGTGGGGTAGAATGGCCCCTGTGACGTGCTTAGCTATTAGCGTCTGTCTAGAACATTCCCTATGTACTTGTCCTGATCCAAAGGGTCTGGGGAGGCCTCTGGGAATGGCACCAAGAACGCAAACCCCAGGGCCGTGTGCTGCCTTGTACCGTGGTCTCCGGGAACCCGCAGGCAAGCCCTGTGAGCGATTGCGCCCCCAGCCCAGTGGGCCCCCTCTCGGGCAGCACTGCCGTCTGGGTCCCTTCTCCGCCTCGGCACTGGCCTGTCCTCCCGGCCCGAGCGGCCCACGTCTTTGCTTAGTTCTCTTAACAACGTGGCTACGGCCTAGTGCCCCGGGAATGGCGCTGCTCCAGGGTGACTGCCTGTTGCTGCTCTGTCGTGGGCGGGATCGATCGGCTTCTGAGGGTCACCAGTGGGGGACACTGTGTTGCTTTCGTTTTCCTGGGTTGCCCCATGAAAGGCCCACCAGCCCTCCCTGTTGGCCAGGGAGGCGTTAGGCGTCTGTGACAGAGGCCCAAACGGAGGCACTTACGGAGACGGCGGTCTGTTCCTTGCCCGTGTCCTGGGGAGCTTGGCAGGCCTGTGCCGGGAGGCTGTCCGGAGCCCGAGCTCCGCCTTCCCCATTTTGCCACCTTAACGTGTGACTCCCCTGCCATGGTCCCATATCCCCCCTGCCCATCCCAGTATGGTCTGTAGCCTGAAGAAGGGAAGAAGGGCCTGTGGAGGAAAGTACCTGCATTGCTCTGCTCGTGCCCCTGACCATCCGGTCACATGGCCACCGTGTGTCCTAGTCACCTGGGATGGCACAGCTCTTGTTTGTGAAGTCCCTGCCCTGTGCCAGGCTCACGGGCTTGCGAAGCCCACCGTGGCCACAGTTTCCTCAGAAAATCCTTATGCTCCATTTGTTCTTAAGGAATCGGGCTCCAAGCAGTGACTCACCCTGTGTCACAGAGTGGGGAAGGGTCCCTGTGTTGGGGGTATAGGGCGTGTGCTCCCTGTCCTGAGAGACACCTCAGCCCTGGCCTGGACCACTCTCTTATGGCCCGGGCTGGACACGGTTCCTCCGAGGGAGGGTGTTTAGGGGTGAAATGTCATTGTTCCCACTCATTCTGGAACCTTCCAAGAGCATCGGGAACCCCGTGCCCTTGAAGGACCCTGTCTGGTGGCTGTTTCTAAGCCGGGAGAGGGCGTGGCCAGGACCACAGAGCCTCTCGGGGTTGGGATGTGGAGGGAGGGTGAGGTCAGGCGTTTCTTAAGGAACCCTCATGGCCAGATCAGCTTCTCAAAATGGCCGGGGTGAGGGGGTGGGGATGACGCTTTTGCATTTTCTCCCTCCTTCCGCCCCCACAGTCTGAAAGCCAGTCTGCTGAGGCTTTCACCAGGCCAGCTGAGGGCCGGTCTCCACCTTGGGCCCGGGCATCTCCGCCCAGGGTGGGAGTGCCAGGCTTTGTGACGGCCTTGGGCAGTGGTAGGGGGACTTGGGGCCCGAACCCCCTCCTGGCCGTTCACTGCAAGTCCGGTTTTAAGAGTTCCTTTTCTTTAGTGGAGAAGGGGTCCCTCGTTTTCCCCTCATGTGGGGGTTGAAAGCAGCAGCCCCGGACCCTCCTGCGGGCCCAGACCCAGGGCAGGGGAGGCTTCGGGACGGGAGGAGGGTGGATCGCCCGCCGGCGGTAACGAGAACCGTCAGGCCCGTGAAAGGGGCCCTGTGTGTGCCGCAGACACAAAGCAAACTGAGGTCGGGAGGGGCGGGACCCTCGGAACCCCACACGTGGCAG